CTCCTTGCACCTCCTAGTACCCCCAAATACATTTAAAAATAACATTTAAGGGGTTTTAGGAACCCTCAAAGCATGGCAAAATCATCTCCCAAGCCCCCTAGAAGGCAGGAGAGAACTTTTGGGGCAAAGGGATTTTCAAATTTTAGCTGAATGGGAGGGGGGCATCTCAGGAGCCTGCGTTTGAGCCTGCTGGGGGCTGCACAGAGCCCACACGCTGTATGTTGCCCACCCCTGCTGTAGAAACTGCTGATTTCCAAGAACTCTAGCATCTTTAATCATTAGTACAGCATAGGTAGAACCAAAAAAGGTAGAAGACAAGCACTGTTTCTTGTCTCCAGCTTACCCATGCAGGGTCTTCCAACGCCCTGGGACCGGAAACCTCTTGGACACACACACCGGTAGCTTCCTCGTGAATTTTCACATATCTGATTGTATCGGCACTGATGAGTGCCATCTCTGCATTCATCAATATCTGACAAGGAACACAAACTCTTAAAGGTAACTGTTCGTGTACAGAAATTTAAGAGTATGCAATTCTTTCTTTTCACATAAAGCTCATTTACAATGTCCCCAAAATCTTTTTCCCAACCTGATTCCTGTCATCCTTCCACTGTAAAGAACATGCCTTCTTCACTAACAAGGAATGAGGAAGACTGAGAGAAAGCAAGCAGGGAAGAAAGTATTAGCTCTCTTCTCCTTTGTTTGTGTGTTGTAACCATCACAGACCTACACTGATGTCTGTGGGTGGCATTCATGTCTAGAATACAGAAGAAGCTGTTCATGACTGAGATTCATGAATGGGGTGTAAAAAGAAAGACCCTTCTGAAGCAGCTGGGTGTCATCTGATTCACTGCTGCAGTCTTTGCAAACAATATGATAAACGAAGCATACATACCTACGCATGTTCCATTTTCTGCTTTGGTCATTCCATTTGGGCACAGATCAATGCATTTATAGCCACCCCGCGTATTCTTGCAGAGCTGGTCAGGTCTGCACACATTTTGCCTACATTCATTCACATCTTTAAAAAGACAGAAGGTTAAAAATAGCTAAACTAATTAGATACATATCTTCCTCATGTAAGAGCAGTCTTGTTTTGTCTTTGCTCTCCCATGTGCTGGTAGGCCTGCAAAAACACACTTCCAGTTTGCCCATTGCAGAAGCATGCTTTGCTGCTTAGGCAAAGGAATTTTAGTCCTTTCAACTTCAAATACTCAAGATGATCATCCAGCGTCTATCTCACTGCAGCAGAACTGATTTAGAAATTATGATGTCTGAAAAATGTATACTCTGGATTCCTAATTGAGTTTAGATCTCTGCTCTTTCATTCCATCAGCTGGCATTAATGTATAAATATGCAACATTTGAATTACAAAAAATTACCAGATTTACAACTAGGTGTTGACAGGTTATCAGTTCTGTGTACAGCAAAGTTATTCAATATAATCAATCTATGTATAAAGCATGGACAAACCAAGGCACAAATTGGAAACGCTGAGAAAAGATGGAAGAGGACTTCCACTGGCAATAGGGATGCCTACAAATTAAATTCAGGCTTTGCCCAAGCAGTAGTCTGCTTGCTTTGTACCAATCTTTGTCTCTTTCTTACCACGTTATATAGATTAAGGCTAAAATCCACTGCACTGTTACATGTTCTGGACGTGTTCCACTGCACTTCAAGGTAAATTGAAACAAGCTCAGATCAGGGGGCTTGAAACCAAGCCTTATGAGTAAAGATTGGAAGAATCAGACATGTTTAGCCTTGAGAAAGGTAGACTGAGGGAAGATATGATAGCACTTTTCAAATACTTGAAAGGCTGTCATATAGAGAAGGGGCAGGATCTGTTCTCGATCACCCCAGAGTGCAGGACATGCAACAACGGCCAGATTTCTATTGAATATCAGGAAAAATATCCTAACTCTTAGAGTAGTATGGCAATGGAATCAATTACCTTGATAGGTGGGAATGTTCCAACACTGGAGGCATTCAAGAGAAATTTAGACAACCAGATATCCTTTGATTTGTATTCCTGCATGGGCCCCTTCCTACTTCATGATTCTTTCATTCTGTGTTTGAGTCCATTAATTTGGAAAGATTTAAACCCTGTAAATTGTTGTTTGTCCTCCATTCTGGCCTCCTTCCCCTTGTATAATTTGCTTCAATGTCAGCTCACAGCTTCCTTCCATTCTTTGCAAGAACACATGCCTTGTTTTTAAGGAGAATCCCACTTGCTGGAGATTCAGCCTGTGTACCATGTTTGCAAGAAGAAAGCAGTGGATTTACTTTGTGGCACATAGGGAAATTCAGCAGTATTATTAATGTGTGTGTAGGCTTCCTGCCCTGTCTTAATCCTTGCAAAAATATTGTGAACTATTCCTCTATATCTCTTCAGCACATAGCAAGGGTTCACAGAGCTCCTGGTCAGGACAACCCATTTTTCTACACAGCAAATTTCCTGAAAAAAAAAAGAGATCCTTTTGACTTCCAAGGGGACCTGCCTTGTCACAACTGTAATGATCATGAAAACAGCAGGAACTGAAGACCCGAGACATACCTCAGACCTTTTCTCCACTAATTGGTATAGGTGCTGACTTGCACTTACAAACAGCCAGGTAGAACAAAAGGCCAATAAAAATGTTTAGTGTATTCGCGAAAGCTTTCAAGGCCGGGATCTAATGGTTGTTGTGGGTTTTTCGGGCTCTTTGGCTGTGTTCTGAAGGTTGTTCTTCCTAACGCTTTGCCAGTCTCTGTGGCCGGCCACAGAGACTGGCAAAGCGTTAGGAAGAACAACCTTCAGAACACAGCCAAAGAGCCCGAAAAACCCACAACAACCATTAGATCCCGGCCTTGAAAGCTTTCGCGAATACACTAAACATTTTTATTGGCCTTTTGTTCTACCTGGCTGTTTGTAAGTGCAAGTCAGCACCTATACCAATTAGTGGAGAAAAGGTCTGAGGTATGTCTCGGGTCTTCAGTTCCTGCTGTTTTCATGATCATTACAGTTGTGACAAGGCAGGTCCCCTTGGAAGTCAAAAGGATCTCTTTTTTTTTTCAGGAAATTTGCTGTGTAGAAAAATGGGTTGTCCTGACCAGGAGCTCTGTGAACCCTTGCTATGTGCTGAAGAGATATAGAGGAATAGTTCACAATATTTTTGCAAGGATTAAGACAGGGCAGGAAGCCTACACACACATTAATAATACTGCTGAATTTCCCTATGTGCCACAAAGTAAATCCACTGCTTTCTTCTTGCAAACATGGTACACAGGCTGAATCTCCAGCAAGTGGGATTCTCCTTAAAAACAAGGCATGTGTTCTTGCAAAGAATGGAAGGAAGCTGTGAGCTGACATTGAAGCAAATTATACAAGGGGAAGGAGGCCAGAATGGAGGACAAACAACAATTTACAGGGTTTAAATCTTTCCAAATTAATGGACTCAAACACAGAATGAAAGAATCATGAAGTAGGAAGGGGCCCATGCAGGAATACAAATCAAAGGATATCTGGTTGTCTAAATTTCTCTTGAATGCCTCCAGTGTTGGAACATTCCCACCTATCAAGGTAATTGATTCCATTGCCATACTACTCTAAGAGTTAGGATATTTTTCCTGATATTCAATAGAAATCTGGCCGTTGTTGCATGTCCTGCACTCTGGGGTGATCGAGAACAGATCCTGCCCCTTCTCTATATGACAGCCTTTCAAGTATTTGAAAAGTGCTATCATATCTTCCCTCAGTCTACCTTTCTCAAGGCTAAACATGTCTGATTCTTCCAATCTTTACTCATAAGGCTTGGTTTCAAGCCCCCTGATCTGAGCTTGTTTCAATTTACCTTGAAGTGCAGTGGAACACGTCCAGAACATGTAACAGTGCAGTGGATTTTAGCCTTAATCTATATAACGTGGTAAGAAAGAGACAAAGATTGGTACAAAGCAAGCAGACTACTGCTTGGGCAAAGCCTGAATTTAATTTGTAGGCATCCCTATTGCCAGTGGAAGTCCTCTTCCATCTTTTCTCAGCGTTTCCAATTTGTGCCTTGGTTTGTCCATGCTTTATACATAGATTGATTATATTGAATAACTTTGCTGTACACAGAACTGATAACCTGTCAACACCTAGTTGTAAATCTGGTAATTTTTTGTAATTCAAATGTTGCATATTTATACATTAATGCCAGCTGATGGAATGAAAGAGCAGAGATCTAAACTCAATTAGGAATCCAGAGTATACATTTTTCAGACATCATAATTTCTAAATCAGTTCTGCTGCAGTGAGATAGACGCTGGATGATCATCTTGAGTATTTGAAGTTGAAAGGACTAAAATTCCTTTGCCTAAGCAGCAAAGCATGCTTCTGCAATGGGCAAACTGGAAGTGTGTTTTTGCAGGCCTACCAGCACATGGGAGAGCAAAGACAAAACAAGACTGCTCTTACATGAGGAAGATATGTATCTAATTAGTTTAGCTATTTTTAACCTTCTGTCTTTTTAAAGATGTGAATGAATGTAGGCAAAATGTGTGCAGACCTGACCAGCTCTGCAAGAATACGCGGGGTGGCTATAAATGCATTGATCTGTGCCCAAATGGAATGACCAAAGCAGAAAATGGAACATGCGTAGGTATGTATGCTTCGTTTATCATATTGTTTGCAAAGACTGCAGCAGTGAATCAGATGACACCCAGCTGCTTCAGAAGGGTCTTTCTTTTTACACCCCATTCATGAATCTCAGTCATGAACAGCTTCTTCTGTATTCTAGACATGAATGCCACCCACAGACATCAGTGTAGGTCTGTGATGGTTACAACACACAAACAAAGGAGAAGAGAGCTAATACTTTCTTCCCTGCTTGCTTTCTCTCAGTCTTCCTCATTCCTTGTTAGTGAAGAAGGCATGTTCTTTACAGTGGAAGGATGACAGGAATCAGGTTGGGAAAAAGATTTTGGGGACATTGTAAATGAGCTTTATGTGAAAAGAAAGAATTGCATACTCTTAAATTTCTGTACACGAACAGTTACCTTTAAGAGTTTGTGTTCCTTGTCAGATATTGATGAATGCAGAGATGGCACTCATCAGTGCCGATACAATCAGATATGTGAAAATTCACGAGGAAGCTACCGGTGTGTGTGTCCAAGAGGTTTCCGGTCCCAGGGCGTTGGAAGACCCTGCATGGGTAAGCTGGAGACAAGAAACAGTGCTTGTCTTCTACCTTTTTTGGTTCTACCTATGCTGTACTAATGATTAAAGATGCTAGAGTTCTTGGAAATCAGCAGTTTCTACAGCAGGGGTGGGCAACATACAGCGTGTGGGCTCTGTGCAGCCCCCAGCAGGCTCAAACGCAGGCTCCTGAGATGCCCCCCTCCCATTCAGCTAAAATTTGAAAATCCCTTTGCCCCAAAAGTTCTCTCCTGCCTTCTAGGGGGCTTGGGAGATGATTTTGCCATGCTTTGAGGGTTCCTAAAACCCCTTAAATGTTATTTTTAAATGTATTTGGGGGTACTAGGAGGTGCAAGGAG